GAAAAATGTTGTGTTCTGCAGACTGAGGCTTTCTCATCTTCAATTGGCAGTATCTTGGGGTGTCATGCTAGAAGTTCAGTTGTGAAAATGCATAGTTTCAAACTGTCCCTGTGAGGCCATATGTTTTAAATGCCAGAGGGTGGGGCTGTGCTATAATAAAGCCCAGGTGTCTATTGCTATGATTTTAAATTGTTGAATTCAACAGCCTTGCACTAATTAAATGATAGCTATTTTTAACCCAAATTTGGCAGCCAATCAGGAAAGAATTTCTATCATAAAATGCTAACAACAGTGCTCTAAGACAGAACCTCAGTGTAATCTACAGGAAAGAAAGGCCCTATTCTCAAAACTTGTATTTATTTTTAGCTTGTAAGGATGTTTATTGTTTAAATCACAGAACAGAGTACTACTTGATACTCAAACTTCTTTTCTGTAATTAGATTTCTTCATATAATAAACATTTGGCTTAGACTTTCCCACCATTCCCCTCAAAAACAATCTTCTTCCAAGACCTATAAAAGAACCACATTTAAAAACGAAGTAAAAATCAGTGATGACTGACTAACACAGAGTCATGCATGTTGCCTGTTATATGTTATCTCACAGTTAAAGCATCAGTCCTTACAATGCTATCCTAATCTCCTCCATTGGTGTCATACACATTCCTGAAGTGTGGGCTCCCGTCACACTCTACCTGTTGGTCATCTCTGGGGTGCTCTCCGGCAGAAGCTACATGCTGATTTTCATTTTCACAGAGGTTGCCCGGTGCATGCCTGCAGCCCACCTCAACATGGCCCAGTTGCCTGTACTTCCTTTAGAACTTCCTCTGCTTACTACTCTTCTTTACATACAGTTAGTTTCTGTAAATAAAGTGACCATCAACTGTCTCTGATCAGCTCAGGAAATCATTCTCCCGCATTCCCATAGGCCCCTCTTCAAAAACGTTTTAGAATTAAGTAATTTATTTTTCACTAGAGGGTTCACTCTAGTTTGTAATTATGGAGTCTTCATCATCTTTCTAGAGAAAGGATTGTAAATTTTCAGAGGTGTTTTGTTTGTTTGTTTGTTTAGTTTGTTCTTATTTTGTTTTGTTTTGACACAGTCTCATTATACAACCCTGGCTGTCTCAAAAATCTTTATGTAGGCCAGGTTGGCCCCAAACGTACAGAGATCCTCCTGTCTCTTCCTACCTCCACATCTCCTATATATGACTACTGGGATTAAAAGTGCATAGCACCACACCTGGAAAGAATGTAAAGTAAAGTAATATCTCATGATTCGGAATTTTCATTGTAAATTTATGTAGATGAATTAGAGAGATGGCATAGCAATAACGATCACTGACTGCTCTTTCAAAGAATTCGGGTTCAAATCCTAGCAGTACGTATTAAATAGCTCACAAGCAAAGGTAACTTCATTTCCAGGGCACCCGAGACATCTTCTGGCCTCTGTGTGCAGTATGCATGCAAATGGTGCACAGATGTATGCTATCAAAATGCCCATGCACATAATAAATTAGAATAGAATGAAATAGAATGTAATTAAAATTAAGAAATAAACATGTCAGTTCCATAGACATGAAAACAGTATCATTTCAGGAGTCACTACAATACATGTGTAACTTTTCCTGCTTTGCTTTTCAGTGCTGCAGTCTACGATGTTCCCACTAATGTCTTGTTTAAGATCCTGCACTTATCTAAATGAAGAGGGCCAATCATATTCCGAGGATTTCCAAATCATTTGTCTTAGCCCCCTTTGAGCTCATTCTAAGTACTAAATATTTACTTAGTCAATCCTTGGTCTCTGTCATCCAGTCATACATCTTCATCATTAGGCATGGGCTAACAGTAGGTGGAGCTATTCTCTTTCTCCATCTACAGAGTTAACGGCTCATATCCATGTTAACGGCTTGTAAACGCATCTCACAAGGGCTTGCTTTCTTTTAATGTCCATGATTCTAAACTATAACTGGGAATTTTCATCTAGTTTGGCAGAATTGTATTAAAGACTGTTAAAGCATTCTTTAGCTTGTTATCAATCCCCAGCTCTATGTCTTTAAGAATGCTATCATTTTTCGTATTGGTGCTCTTTTTATTATTATATTCTTATTTTTGATGCAGAGTTTCTCTGCAAAACAATCTGGTTGTCCTGGAACTCAATCTGTAGACCTGGCTGGTATCGATCCCACAGAGATCCATCTGTCTCTGCTTCCAGCGTGCTGGGATTAAAGCCATATGCCACTACTGCCGACTACTGATACTTCTTTTAAAGCAACTGGAACATGAGAATTGGTTCTCATAGACATGTCATTATATATGCAAATATTAACCTACTCCAAATGAAAACTGAAGTCAGTTCTTATTGATTAATCACCATTTTATCTTAGAAGTCCTTGGGATTACAAGTAATTATTTATTTTGATACATATAATCCCACAGATAGAGGAAAACACTATGATGATTTCCAGTATGCTTGTTTGTTTGTTTGTTTGTTTGAGTGCTTGTTTTAAACAGGGTTTTTGTAATTAAATCGACCTTAAACTTGCAATTAAGGCAGAAACGACCCCCACGTCCTCTGTGTTGAAATCGGAGATGCCCTGAATGATACCTATCTGTGATGTGTCTTTAAAGTAAACTTACATACATTTATATAATGTATATATTAAATATATATATATATATTTAAATAACAAGTCAGAAGAGTTTAGCTAGTAAAAGGGACTGTTTTTACTTTTTTCAGGGTCTAAAATCAATTGTGATTCATCAGCATCTAGAATGTGTGTCTAGTAGTGGGGAGGTCCAAATCCTGAGTGGAAATAAAGATGATGAAGCCTTGCCAATTTAAGATAATTTAAAGAGTAAAATTTTCAAGTCTTGTGTGTTTTTCTAAAAATAACTTTCAGGTATTTTTCTGAGTCTTGACCAAAGGTGGATTTTGAGGAATTTAAGAATCCACTGGGAAAGAATATGGAATAAGGAGATGTTTGTGTAGGCATTTCTCTCTTCTCTTTGCCTAAATAAAGAGATGGAATAGGAGACTAATAGATGGTTAGGGAAGGCTGGGCTGAAAACTACTCATTGCTCCATGAGCACACAATAATGTACATGTGATTGCGTTGACCTGTGTGTTTTGTTTTGAGCCAATATTTGGTCTTGAAATCCTGACCCACCTCTACGTACAAAGTGCTGGGATTAGAGGTATGTGCCATACTGTATGCAGAAGGCTGCCATGAAGCCTACTTTATGGGACCTTTGATCACTTGCCATCCATTTTCTGGAGGATGTTTTTTTTTTCAGAACTCCCAAGATGCATAGAAATCATAGCCTTGGACAGAAAGGATCCAGAACAATGTGATGTTCTATCTCCTTTCTTCTGTAACCTGAACGTTTAGTGTCTTGATTGCCGCAGATGCCTCATATATTCTGTTGAACTCAACTGCTTCCTCTGTTTCTCAAGAGCCGTATTCATTTTCTTTGCTTTTATTCAAAGCATTGTTTCTGAACAAAGTAAAGATGTGTTATCAGGCAGCCTTACAGTTACACCAAACAACAACATGAACTGACCAATTCTTTATCTAAGCAAGTCATTAGGAAACTTTATCTGACTTGGAAGTAGTACAAAGGGTTTTGTTGTTTTGGGTTTTTTTTTTCCCCTTTTATGCTGCAATACTTTGTCACTGGCCATATATGAGGGATGGCTTTCTGGGTCAGGACAGGCAGGCTTTGTTAACTTTGAATAACTTTATGTCATTTCTACAAGTACATGATGCACTCAGGTGTCCGAGCCACAGGGGCTCATAACAGGGCAGTCACCAAACTCACTATTGTCACCTTAACAAATCCCACTGACCTTTTCCTTGGTTTGCGATTTTGTTTAAGAACTGCTTTATTGATGAGATCTCTCCTGGTAATGGGACCCAAACTTAACGCATGCTTAAACCCTCCATTACTACCAAGGTGTCTCCAGTCCTTTTTGTGTTTTCTATTTTGGAGACAGATTCTCACTAAATAGCAAAGGAAGGCCCAGAAATCACTATGGATGTCTTGTACTTGTGATTTTCCAGCCTTTGGCTTCAGAGTACCTGCTAATACAAAGTAGCACTGCTAGGACTAACTACAACTCATGTTGATTGAACATCAGGCACTTGCAGTTGCTCAGTGCTTTCATATATACTAACCTACTAATAGATTCTACCAGACAAATAACATTAGAAGCCTCCTATTATATGTAAAAATACTAACACATAACTAGGCTCTTGGACTTTTGACTAAGTCCATGTCTACAAAATTGCCTGATATCACCATTAAGATATAAACCCAGAAAGAGAATCTCCAGGGCATGTGCTGGAAAGAATCTAAGCAGTATTGGTTATTTTCATTCCACCTCCCGTGAATTTCACACAGTGTAATAAAGAATACCACAGTTTTCATGATCGATGACATTTCTGGTTTCCCTAAGTTTACTGAAATCACATGGTTACGATAAAGGAGTAGTCTTGTGATAAAAAGGACATAAAATCACAGCATTGCTAGACGGAAAAAGACTTTGAAGGTGAGTCGTCTGCGCTTCATTTGGTCATGTATACTCTACATACAGTGCAGTCTCTTAAGATTGTGTTGCCTACTGACATCATGGCCTGTTATATTCCTGTAGTTAACTTCTATGGTGTTTGCAGAGTAATGATGAAATCATTGAATAAAGCATTTCTCAGAATATATATATCCCTGTGATTATATGGCTGGAGACTGATTTAGTAGAAATCACTGATAGTTGGATCCCCCAGACACTTTCTCAGCCACTCCTGATGTGCTCAGCCGCTCTTTCTGCTGCCACTTACACCCACACTGACCATGTTGATCTGCACATCTTGTTTCCTGAATGCTACTCTCAGATCACTTTCTAAAAATTCTGCTAATTTTTCACATATAGTGGTCCCAGAGTTGATTCTGGCTGGATTATCTTATTGTTTTAACTTTCGACTCTCTTTATTTTCCAAACAGGAGCAAAGTTTATTGGAACATTCCCCATTCCAGACACCTATAATCCAGATGATGATAAAATATATTTCTTCTTTCGGGAATCATCCCAGGAAGGCAGTACATCTGACAGAAGCATTCTTTCAAGAGTTGGGAGAGTTTGTAAGGCAAGATTCACTTATTTTTCTTAAGAACCATGTCTTTGTGCATGAAGTAATATGTCTTCAGTATTGAAGGGAAGGAGGCCATGCATTATTGGTAAAGTTGAAAATTAATTCACACTTCACACTCCTTTACATGGGTGATTTTTGAGATGCATCTTTGAAAAGCAAAAGCAAGTTATTTTCCAATCTGATTTTTGGTTCTTATCTACCTCCCTGGTCTTGCAGATTGTTGGTTCTCTGCTGATATTCAGTGCCATTCAATGCTCTTACCAATAAGACCACTCACTGTCGTGATCCCCAGAGGGAAAATGTTTCCATGTTACATTAGTTCATCTCAACTCAATTTGAATAATCACTAGAGAAACTTACACACTAACAAAATCATGCCTGTATTTTTACAAATATACACCACACATATAACAACCATGCCTTTTGTTTGGACCAATTGAGTTTGAAATACAATTCTATTTTATTATATTAAATACTTCCTATGCTATTAATCTAGATTAAGTTCTGAGAGAAAAATGAAGAATAAAAGATAACTAAAAGCATAAAATGTTTATTTAAAAAACCCCAATTGAATCTGAATATTGCCATTTTATATAAATTATACTGACCACATAAACTGCTTCGGAGAGTTACATTTTGTTCCATCAAGGCTTTTAGTTGATTGGCTATGGACTTTACAGAATAGAGAAAGTACTGGAGCCAAACCCTTGACTTCTGAATGTATGCATTCTTCCTGGATTTGCCTCTGCTGGAAGAACTTTCCCGACGAGACATAAATCAGTGATGAACAAAAGCTATTAAGTTAATAAATACCTTCTTCAGCAATCTTTCTCTGGTCTTAAACAAACTTTTCATTTTCTTCCATCTAAGCTTGTCACTTTTTGTTGCATTCTGTACCCTCAGGCTTCTGAACCTTTCTAGGAGCAGGAATACAAACCATCACCACACTTGAAATTGCTAATGACAACATACCTTTTGAATGAAGCCGACTTTTGAGGCCAGACCATTCTTTATGTACCATCCTAGCCAATAATGCTGTTCATCCCACTGATCCTTTTTACCCCAGAGGGGACAGATTGTTTAAAAGGCATCCTCATTCTCTCAGAGTCCAAAAATCTGTAGTCGTCTTTTAAAGCCTCCTGCTAGGAATGAATGGCCATGCCCGGAGTGCTCTTAGTATGTCAGTGTACTGAAGCATGCCACATAACAATGGTATAATGACCCTGAGAGCCAAACAGTAGACTGACACTTTGTATAAGTGAGGTTTGTTAAATGTGTCAAAGGGGGATTACAAGCACTAAATGCGTTTCATGAGTCCTTTTGAAAACAGTGTATGACAAGTGCGCTGTTTGTGGGGAGTTCAATGCTTATTACTTAATGGCTATAATCCATTAGACTGAAATTTATTTCTAACAAAGCAAAGATTTTACTCTGGTATAAATGAATCATAAAGGTAGATGAATACCTCAGCCTTTGTCATATCTATAAATATCTATGTAGAAACTGTGGTTAGAATTTCAACCATTACCCGTGGAATGTTCTTTTTAAGCTGTGAGAAAATTCCTGCAGAAAGGAAAAGGCAGGAAAAAAGCAGGAAAGGAGTTTACCCAACTCAAAAACCTCTGAGAATACACAGTAAGATTGTGTTCTATCAAATCATGAGATCAAATAAAGATATGATGGATGAGAAACGAAGGAGAGACTTTTCACTTAGTGTGAAAAGAGATGAGTCTCTTAATTGTTCTTTTAACTGTGTGACATCTTAAAATGCTCACTGTATAGCCATAATCTATTGGTCAAATGTCCATGAAATCTGGTTCTAAATTCTTTGTTCACAATTTAATTACTGCACATCCAACTCATAGTCACCATTACTTTTTATGTTGTTTTCACATAAACGAATTCTGGCATTATTTGCAATTTATTCTTTTTGTTTTATTTCCCTTATTTCAAAAATGTCTTGATATTTATTTCTCTACATTTTTTGTCACGCAATAAGAAAACAACATATCTTTATTGTGAAACAAAATTGAGTGTGATAATTGTAAGAAATTAGTATAGAAGGAAGATCTCCTAGTAGGCTGTGGAAGCCCTCTGACATTCCCAGGTTTTATTCTGTTATAGTGGCAGTCCTTTAGCCTGCCAGTTCAGCTCACATTTTCCCACAGTCTGTATTTGGAAACACAAAGGTTTTGTTCTTGTTGCCATTGTTTGCTTTCATATTTAACTAATAATTTGACACGGAATGGAACTGTTGACAGTTTAAAAAAATTCTGCCCCTTTTAATATTCAACTTTAAAAATTGGTGTTATATTTACCTGGGAAATCTGTTTTCTTGACTTTTTTGTCATAAAATTATTGGTAAGAGGTTTTGGTAATAGACTACCCTTTTACTCTCTTACTGTCTCTTCTCTTCTCTCTTGCTCTCTCTTTCTGAACACCCACAGAGATTAAAGATTGTCCAAGGGAAGGGCTTCTGATATGTTCAATATTATAACCCATGTATGCCTTATATTTGAATATTTCACCAATAGCATCAAAATATGACTTCCCTAGAACACACAGACACTGCTGATACCAAGCTGTTATTCTTTTTTAAAAATAAATCTAAATTACACTGGGGGAAAATATATAAAAGACACTCATAAAGTGGGATGATATAACTACGACATATGAGACCTCTAGGCTATCAGTGACGTTTGAAAGCATCGTATGAAGGGAATGATTAAAATGAATTCTCTAGTGTGAACACGACCACACTACATGGAGGAAGAGAGGCCAAGCATTCCAATTAGCCTTTGTCAGGGCAGATCTTGCTCACAGGATGCTGAAATCTTGTATTAAAAATTCAAAGCATGTGTCAGGGGACCAATGTCTTTGTTGGAAATTAGGTGATAAGAAGTCTTGTTTCCATGTTAGCAACTGAGAACATGACCCTAGGCAAAAATGAGTTATTCTATATTTGAGGTACAGAGGGGCAAGATGAATATATTTAGCCCACAATGGAAGAATGCATCTGGATTGAGAAATACTTGTGAGTAGGAAGTCTGTTTTATCCAATATAGTATGAAAAAAAGACATGAAGGATCATTTAGGAGATATTTCAAAGAGAATCCGTTTGTACATATCTTATTGGTATCTCATTGGTAGATTGGTACAGATACGTGCAGTTCATGACCATGGTCTTGTTCTTATCTGCAGTATTAATGCAGTGTGTGGTCACATGTTGAAATATGGCTTTGAAGATGAAGAACTGAATTTACAGTGCATCCTTGTTCCCATTCCCAAAATGGTATTGACCTCATCACGTGATAACCACCTCATAGGCAATATCATTCTAGATGGCACTTGTCATACAGATAAGCACTCCTATATTCTTGGTAACTGGGTTTTAGGAGACAAGGCAGGGGTCTTGACAAATCCGAACTGGTGCATTCCCTGATGAGAGAGGAAACAGCATAGATGTTATATTGGGACTTTTGCAGCTGATGTGGCTCTGGAATGTGTTAGCATATTAACCTACTTAAAAGTGTAAGCCCGGGGCTCTGTGGCATCTCAGCTCTCGAGTGTGAAATCTGCAGTATGTGTCGGCTTTTGAGTCATGGAAGTAACTAAAACCGTTCAGAAATACTTGTAGCAAGATGAAATACAGACAGAATCCAGAGGGACAGTGCAATTTTAAATAAGATATAAATGTCCACAAAAGCAATGTGAGAAGAATTTGTTCTGTGGTATGTTGGGATGGGTAGGAGAGCTATCACAAGTCACTGGAATGATGTCCTTATAAAAACTCAGTTTCTGTGGGGGCACCATGCATCCAGAATCTGTGTCCTTCAGACACTGATGCAGGCAAATAAAACAGAACGGAGAGGGAAGAGAGTATGTGGATAAATGGGAGGAGAAGAGAAAAGAAAGAACAAGGAAACCAAAGCAGTTTTCAATGATGTTACAGGCCAAAAAAACTCCAGAATTTGACAGTCAACATATAACTGATAACCTCTGCCCAGAGGATAGAAACATTCAACTCAGTATATACTGCGACACAATGCAAACACCCACATCTTCTATGACTACTGCATCAAAAAATGTAATGCTTAAATAAGAGCATTGGATTTACATGTGGCATATGCTCAATGGATGATTGACATGGATTTCAGGGTATGAGCGAGCATGTAACAATCTAATATAGGAGACTTACATGTAATGAATGTAAACTCTGCCCACAGTACTTGAAAATACACACTCACATTATGTATATGATAAAAATAATATGATATAAACATATCACATTATGTATATGATAAATAATATGTATTTATAAATTATATATATATATATACATACATACATACATAGTTTCAGAACATATTCAACTTAATATCTCTTATGAGCTGAAGAAGGTGGCCGTGGTATCCTGTGGGTTAGGTACCAAAGTATTTTGACAAGCAGTGGAATTGCATTATGTTTCCATTTGTTTTGTTGAATTGAATATAGTATTTTCAGGCTGGCCTGAAACTCGCTGTACATTCCACACTGACCTTAAAATCCCTCAATTCCCTTATCTCTACTTTCTGAGTGCTGGGATTCAGAGGTGTGACATAAGGTCTAGCTGGTATTTTGTTAATTGTAAATGCAGAAACTACTGCTATTTTGCTCACATTTTTTTTTAAAAAAGATTCATTTTATTCTTATTTATGTTTAAATGAGTTTCAGTGTGAGTGTATGCTACATATCTGCAGTAACACAGGGAGACCAGAAGGCCATTGAGTCCCCTGGTGCTGGAACTCAGGGTGTTGTGGGCCACCTGAGATGGGCGCTAGGATCAAATTCTGGTCCTCTGGGAGAGCGGCAAATGCTTTAACCACCGAGTCATCTTTCCAGCTCTCTGCTTTGTTCTTATTTTTAAAAATACTTATATTTATAAATGTGTAGTATTTTTGAACGCAATCGAAGTACCTTGAAACCATATTTGATAAATATTTATTAATAAGAAC